ATGAGATATAATAATAATGTTTATATGTAAGATGCAAGAAGAGGGAGTAAAGCTTGTGTATGATACACACAACCTGTAAATTTTGCTTTAAGAGCTGTAATGAGCATGTTCAATTCTGGGTCACAGGATAGATCTTCAGAAGATAATAAAATCTGAATGGAAATTGGTTGGCTTGGCTTGGAAACGCGTCAGCCAAACTTGTTGATTAAATTGAACGAATAATAAATGCAATTGAAACGATTTTATGTTCAATTAAGCTTTATTTTCCTCCAATTATACGCCCATGAAGCTACTGAAAAACAATTAACAAATGATAAAAAAAACCAAATCCCCTCTCTCACACATGGAAAGATAATCCGATTACACGACGGTGCGCTCAGGCGGCGTCAGTTTGCAGTCGCACAGCCATTCAGTGTAATTTGGATTCGGAAAAAATCTCTTTTTTCACTTGGCACAGCATTAACAGTCTTCCAGACAATATAGTTTTGTTGGGATTTCGCTTCCCTTTTTCCCGCAATATAATTTTTAAGTAATTAAATGCGAGCAAAAATTAAAACCTCCCAAGCGTGTTAGCTTTCCCGGAAGAAAGACAAAGAACATGGCGATAATTTTCTTTACCTCGTGGGTGTTGGAAAACATGCTACTACCAGCAGACGACTGTTGGTTTCTTCCAAGAACGGTTACTTCTACATGCACCGCACTTCAAACGATTCATTTTCGTGAGTGTGTACTTCTTGTTTCTGGTAAGTTGCACTCAGTCATATGCCCGCTCTGCTGGGACGACCCACTGCATTCATCCAGAGCGAGTGTAACTCTGTGTAACATTTCTTCGAGAGCTATTTTTAACATGATGGTCAGCAAAAGTTTGTAAATTGCTAAAATATGGCTTTGTCATAACAGCAGGTTCCATTGCCGCAATGCCAATATACCCCCACACCCGCATTTTCCAGACCACGATCCATCCAACGAATTGAGAGGCTTAGATAAAAGTTTACCCTTCTGGGTACGGAAACTTTTTCCGGGAGGGGGGAGATGAGGGGGCAGTGTAGGCTGCTCAGTTCGGTTCCGGTGGCATCGATGGTCCGAACAAATAAACAAGTAATCAAAAACCACAACAAATCTAACCACTTCAGCTGGAGGTGAGCCCTGGCAAAAGAGCACAACGGAAACGAAAAAGCAAAAGCGCAAATATCCGACTTCAGGGTTTAGCGTGTGACAAATTTATAGAGCACAACAGCTGGTGCTACCGTTTCGGGTTTTTTTCCTTCGTTCGAAACTTTGCCGGAATAGTTCACTAGACAAATTGTTACTGCCAAAGAGCAGTTTGTTACAAAGTTCGGAATTGATGGTATCGGATCGGTTGGTAAAGAGGAGAATGTAATTGTATGTTACTTGGACGGTGTTTGATGGTGAAATCCTTTGTGCCATTGGTTCCATGAAGGCTTGTATGTTAATATCATATGAATTTGATGAGATCCAGCTAATGCGATTGTCTTATGTTTGTGTAGAAAGGCATAGGTTAGATTCCACTCAAGATTCGTTCGATGACCATTATTGCTGCAAGATGGTACGAGTTTAAGCATAGGAAGGGACTAGGTCATATAGGCGCCAAGTTAGGAGAGCGTGGAACTAAGATATTAAATATGTTTCCATAGTAATAGATCTTGGCGATATTTTTAATCGACAGTATCTTGAAATGTTTTGATCAGTCCATGATCTGTAAAATTGGGCCAAGCCTGAGATCTTGAAAATTTTTCGGATTTCTTAAACCTTTAAATAAGTTTTAAGTATATGTTTGAGTATTGAAATAACCTCAGAATCCTGAAAATCTAGCTAGGCCTGAAATATTCCCTTTTTTTTCTATTGGGATGTTACAATTGTTTCTACACAGCAAAAAAATCTTAATTATAATTGTTATAATGTTTACAATTCACGAAAGCTTGTATTTCATTCCACGCAAACGAGTAACTTGTATACAATGTTGTTTGCAAATATTGACTTTTGTATACAATATCTGCAACATTTAATGAAATGTCTCAGAGCTTTACACGATTTATAATGTAAACTTAGATGAGATGTAATGCTCCTTTTATGTGCCTAATATTGAACAGAAGTTTACACTACTTTTTCAAACTGAGTAGATCAAGGATCTGTAATTCATGTCTGAATTGGAGACCATGAAATTAGTCATAATCCATGATATCCAAGATCTTGGAAAATAAATCCTTCGTCCCTAAAGTTTCAAAATGGTTCAAGCATAAAATCAGGCACAGATTACAGATAAAAATTCTGAATTTTAATTGTGATGTAAACATTCATTCACGTAAACTTGTATTTCATTTCAGGCAACTGAGCAACTTGTAAACAATGTTGTTTACAAAGATGGGCTTTTGTAAACAATATTTGCTACAATGCATGAAATGTGTCAGAACTTTACATTATATATAATGGAAACTTATATGATATGTGACGCTCCATTTATGTGCATTATACTGAACAGAAATTTACACTACTTTTTCGAAATGTGTGGTATTTTCAAATATCTATAATCTTTGAAATGTTTCGAAATAGAAAGTCTGAAATAATGTTTTTATCCTCGATAAATATTGTATTATTATGGTATTATTAATTTTTATATTACTAGTATAAAAAAATTGGTCCTTGATATACAAATTTGCTCCTTATCATGAAAACCTAGCGTCTTCAAAAACTGTATAGTTTTTTTTCCGAAGCAAATTAGTTTTAATTGAACTATAATAAATATTTTCTCTCAATTCTATCTGTTTTCATAAATCTTGCTCCCGTAAAAATAAACATACAATTTCTGAAGATGCTAGGTTTCTATAATTAGAAACAAATTTGTATATTATAGTCCATTTTTTAACAATACTGTCAACAACAATGTCCATGGACAACCGGGAAAAATTAGGAATTACAGTTTTTGGCCACCCTGGTCTAAACATTGTATTTGCATACCATTGATGATGTTTATGTCAAACACTCACGTTAACGTGATCGAATTCATTTCTTGATTTCTCTTGATTTCGTTATCACTATCTAAATCGTGTGTGGGGTACAATATTTGAATCTTTGTCATCAATGTTATCACCAAAATTGATTTTTTCACTTCATTTTTGATAACTGTAAGGTGAATATATTTTTAATCAACTCGATGACCTACGATATACATCTCATAACACATCATATAAGGGAACCTCTATAAGCGATATATTATATGCTAATACTAACTACCAAACTAATCGACTTCATAAAAATATCGATTACTCCTCAAAAGTGTCCATAGACGTCCGCCACGATGGTAGATGTCTTCACTCTACTAATACAGTCAATCCACGTCAGTCTAATACAAACCATTTACAAAACGCGTTATGAACTGATTTTTCAATAGAAGCCAAACCAACATCAATCTCATCAGGTCTGTCAGGCTAACTAAAGTCGATATTGCGACACTTTCAAATTTGCGTACCTTTTTTCATACTTGACTGTTATTAACCATATTTTGACCAGTTTTTCTTTAGAGTGTATTGTTTACATCCGCTCAATTGTGCAGTTGTCAGTGTAATTCTGGTCAAGATGGAAGAAAATCAGCAAACCTTTCGCGAAAGGATTTTGTTCACCCACATGTAAAATCCTGGATTGTCGCATTGAATATACATCATTCAACCGTTTCAAGGGTCCTCCAAAGGTTCCAGGAATGAATGACAGTAGACCACAAGCTGAACGAAAACCGGGATGATCTTTCGTAAAGTTTCGTTCAGGGGGTCAAGAAACGATCCGGATTAAAAATGTACAAGGTGCAGAACTTTCCAAATCTGGACGAACGCCAGAAGAGTGTTGCCAAAACGCGCGCCCGGAAACTCTACATGAAGCTGCTAACGAAATACCGAAATACTAAACTGTCCTGAACTCCTTCCGATCGAAACCTATTAGGTCATGATGAAGTGTGAACTTCGGATGACCAAAGGAGAGGTGAAGGAAGAAAAAGAAAGGATGAGGATGTGGAAAAAAACTGAGGAATACGTACCCGAAACGACTGTACAGGCTCTGATGGAGGGTGTCAATCGCAAATGTTGAGCATTTTACTCAAACTCATTATGTTTGTGTAGAAAGGCATAGGTTAGATTCCACTAACTGACTAAAATTGAACTGACGTATGCAAGCTGAAATAAATACATATACTGATCTATTGTAATAATTTGGTTTCATTTCGATAACTATAGCCAACTATAGATTTACCAATCAATTTAATGTGTCGTTATTATTATCGACTCACCTTTTAGCTCCTTTTGTAAAATGATCTATTTTCAAATTCATATTGCCCTCTCCTTCCCTCCTTCAATGATATCACCAAGTTGGCGTTTCTGCTCGGTCAAGATTGTGTATTGTGTATTTGATTAAGAAATCATTAATTTGAGAAAAGAGCCAAAGAGCATCATTTCCAGGCCAAACAACGGAAAAAAATACTGAATGTCAGACTCGACCTTCTCTGATTTGCATGAAACTTTGCATAATTGTTTATAAGTCAATCTATGATATTCTGCCAAAATGATTCTCGCAAAAATCTCCAAAAACGGCGTATTCGATATTTTTCGACAAAATTTGTCATAACTCGAAAACGTCAGTACCAATAGAAATGACTTCTTAGACAACGTTGGAACAAAAAACAATTGCTTTTCTTTTGAAACATACACGACAATCAAAAAAATTTCGAAAAAAATGTTTTAAAAATACTTTTCAATATTTTTAAAATATTTTTATTATAAAAAAGGCAGTTGTAAAAAATCTATTTTCTGAGAAAGTTTCAAGTTGTACACTTAAAAAATAACAAAAATCATACACAACAACAAATTTAGGTAATTCTTTTTTTACTTTTTGTTTATAATTAAGATTTGTAAATTTTTGCACAAGAAACGATTTTAAAAGTTTAAGCTATGGTTTTGTTAGTTTTCGATATTTTTAATAAATCATAGCTCTAAAATGTCAGTTCCAATCGATTTAACGTCTGAGAATTTTTTTTAGGGAAAAATAAAGTCTCACTTGGTGAAACATACACGGTAAAACAAATTAGTAACTTTGTGTTAAATAATAAAAGATGTGTTAAAAACAGAAATTATTTATCATGCCTATGATATATGTTTTTAAAATTATTTTGTAAAAAAAGTTTTTGAAAATGCAATCTTTTCAAATATTGAAAATTTTGCTCAAATTTCGGACGAAATATTTTTGAGTGAACTAATCTCAACTTGGAGTCGACCTAATTTGTCGTGTAATCGTAATTTATCTTTTTTATTAATTGCTTTTAACGTATACGGCGTAAACTGATGCAATCCCAACTCCAATAAGGTTTAATTCGTTTAAAGCAGGTCTTTTTTGCTCGAACATGACTTTTACTGACATTTAAAATTTTGCATCTATTTCATGACTCCACCTACCGACCACCCACCACCACGGTCACACACAAAACTTCTGCAAAAAAATTTGCAGCCTATTTACATACATTTCAGAAATTCACAGACATTTTTGAAATTCACAGATATTTTTCGCAGACTTCTGAAAAAACATATCTGGCATCTCTGGCTCAGAGTCATGAACACTATCGTCATAGATTTTCTCTTTCCGTTACTACAGTTAAGTAAACCTATTTCCCAGCTAACGCAACGAGAAATATTAATCCAGCCGAGTTAATATCAAAAGAGAAAATCGATGAAGAGAAACGATCATTGAAGTTAGGTTCTTATGATTCTTAACGCTAGATTTGATAATTCAAACAAAATATTTGTAAATGAACCATTTGTAGTGTTTTCACAAAGTTGGTAAAAATCGATTCCCTCAATGTCCGGTAATTTGAAATTCAGTAACAACAAGTCAGAACCGTTTAACTCGAAACGTCGTCTTCTCGAGCAACTACATCACCAAACTTAGCTCTGTGAGATGGCATAGTTAGTCCGTGTAAGTGTTTTGACATTCGTGCGAAATTTACGTTCCAAGTATTTTTTTACGGTTTGAGTTAGGTCCTTCTGACATGTTGTTCAAGAGATGATTACTTTTCAACTCAGCAATCAGAATGCAATTCGATTACCAGTACGGTAGGTTTTCCAGTCATGGCTATACGTTCCTATTATGGTAGGTTCGAATTAAGGCCTATGAAATTTTCATAAGCCATATTTATGTGGAACACTCCATACGTGGTACATCTAAAAATCCTTTTAAACTGCATCGATGTGCATCGAACTTTTCATAAGTGTCACTTTAATTAAAAATTGCCTCACTGTATAAATGCAGATTCACACCCATTTCATTAACCGCAATCAACAGTGAATAATGAAACGTGATCATATTGTGCTCATGTACTAAGCAAAAAAAAACAATCATGCCTACACAGATGAAAAGCGAAATGACCGCCTCTCGCCACTACACCAAATAAATATTCGTTCGGTCGAAGTTGTGGGAATCTATAATAAATGAAGTCACTGAATTCAGCTTAATGGTCATTGTTTCGATTGTTCGACGGGGGATTACAGATGCGTTTTTCTCAAATTTTCACAGCGCGTAGCTCACTTCATTTCCAAATTGATTCTGTCGGCAAACGTAAAATGAATGAGCGAGGTTGGTGAATGGTGAAAACAAAAAGTAATACTTGCAGCAGATAAATATTTACAAGCTGTGAACGCGCAGAAAAAATAATGGATAGCCACTGGAACTCATAATGCTTACCAAAAAAAAAGTTTGATGATTTCTGCGCCTATCCCACAGATCCACGGCTTTGGGATACCAGAGTATTTGATATGGTTACAGTATAGAAGTAGAATATTTACAACTGCTTTGTATTTTCGGGGAAGTGTTTTCATATTTACAATGGAAGTCAATTCGGTTCCTGGTATTTTAGTGAAATATGATTTTTTTTATCCTGTTTTTGATACGTAAATTACACGCTCAGTTTGTCTTCAATGAAATTTTGCTCCATTTTTTATTGTATTTGGTTCTGCACTGATCGACTCTACAATAAATTTTCGTTTTCCAGAATTATCTATTTTAGGATCGTTAGTATGTTTTTAGTTGCTAGGTCGGAACCGAAACAAAAAAAAAACTTTTGTTACAGTCTTAGTCAAGTTCTCACCTTCGGTGTTAGTGTTTCTTATGGAATTCTCTATGTTTGCTGATTATTGCTAATTGCATTCTACTGACTAAATTAGCATATTCTCTTCCTTACAATGTGATTATTTACCCCTTTAACATTCAATAAAATCCTTTTTAAACCATCACCATGATTTTTTCGCGTTCTAACGTTTGAACTAGTTATCTTACAATAGAAACAATTGATATATAAATGCTATTGATGATTCTACCTACCTAGATGACACTTTTTAACACTCAATGAAAAAACATTCGTACGTAAAAATACGTCAGACCGTTTTAAATTCGATAGGTTTCCGAGTTTCGTCGATCAACAGTGGAGATACATAATTATTCAATTTGCCAAGAAGCTTAACATCGATGTTTTGGTGGGAAGCCACGAAATGATCGCAGTTATCCATGCAGCGAGAAGTTTTGATTGCGCTTCGAATTCTGATCCGTTCCGTTTGTTTTAATTCCGAACAAGTTTTTTTTGCCTCTATTCGAAATATATAATCTATTTAATATTGTGTGTGATGTTTGTAATACCATTACACATAACTGAAACAATTTAATGGTGGTAAGCTCCCACTTGGATTATTTTTTTTTTAAACTGGCCTTGATTGGAAGTTCTGACAGTTCTAGATAGAGTGGGAATTATGGCGTAACAGCTTTTGTAAACAAAGACTTCTCTCGATGATTTCTAGAAATCTAGCTAGCCAACGCAAAACAACATCATCATCGGATAGGGGAAGACTTCAGTAACTGTTTGAACGTTTTGATTACTACCGACGTTGACAGCAAAGCAGCCTGACATTCGTGATTGGGATTTAATCCAAGGTTGGAGCTTACCACCATGAATGATTTGAATTACTCTTAAGTACTGATAAAACAACATTGGAAACTTCCGCATCTAATTACTCCCATGTGATTTTTACGTATTCTTGTAATGATCTGGATACAGGTTTGAGTAATTTTTGTGTTAATTTTTTAAAAGTTTCATTCCGTTTCTCATACAAACTATAAACTCTCCAGATCTTAACTGAATTGGCATAGTTTTAGGGACCTCAATACAGATCGAATGACGAGTGAGGTGCAGGGGTTTGTGGTACATACAAACTAGACCCACCCTAATAAACAGTGTTCGTGCTTGTATAAAGAATATTTCGATAGGGGTAGCGTGAGTAAAATGGAACGCCGTGTTAAAACGTCAGGTAATTGTTTCGTCGGAAAACGTCAAATATCACTGTTTTGATTATGCACTCTTATTTTATGCCAGTTAATAACATTCAGTGATTTTCAAAAACTATCATGTGATGGAAAATGAAACAAAACACGTGACGCCAAACCGTATTCAAAATGCGAATGATGTTATTTAAAAAATCCAACGAAGAATTATACAAGCAAAAAGGGCAAAAACTGATATAACCACTACCCAATTATAAAATTTTTTGGACTTCAGTAAAAAAATTCACATCGAAACATGCTACGAATGGGATTGAATTTGTCCAATTGCAAACATTTGCTGACAGATGGGGTGTTTGGGAGACAATTCTTACAAATGTAATAAAATGAACTCTTATGTATCGTTTTTTAATTTCCTATGATGATCTGGGTATTGCGGCCTAAATCGATTTTATTTTGTAAGTCAATAGTAAACTACTTGAAAATGTTCTCAAGTAGCATATTGTTTTGCTCTTCGTCATATAAATCCCACCAAAAACGAGTGCTCGAACCTCCATGACCCTCATAAAGTTTGTTTACACACTTGCTTCGCCAGAGTATAAATGATTGAAATTGCAACTCAGCTGAGTCATCAAAACTGTGCTGGTTTTTTAACTTTCTTCACAGAACCCTTTGTTTCTGCCGTTGAGCTTACAATTAATAATGTGTTGCGAAAAAGTATTGTTCATTTCTATGAGATGATAAAACATGACGATAAATAAGAAGGGTTAATACATATTGGCTCCCAGATGAGAAGCAGTACCCAGACTTGAATTATTAGATGCAAAACCAACAAAACATACATTTGCAATTTGCAATAGACGTTCAAGTGGTTCCCGCGTAAAAATAAAAATAAAATAACAATATAATGGATTACATTCTGTTGATGACAATTAATCCTATTGCAATTGTATTGTATTGGTCAAGTGATTTTATTGTCAAGTGATCTTATTCTCAATTAGTACATTTGGTTGTTCCGTCTATTTCAAATGTTGATCTAGAATTCTTCTCGGACTTCACTTGGGAATTCCAATAAGACGCTCCACAGGATTCCCTTGAAATACTGCGCAGAATTCATTTTGAAATATCCTTAAAAATAACCTTTTAACTTTTATTTGAACATCCTGTAAATGCTCCTCAGAATGTTTTTTTTTAAGGTTTCCAAACTTTCCGTGAAACTTATTCGGAACTTATCTGGACTTATCCTCATTGGAACTCTTAAGAATTCGTTTACCATGCAATAAATCTCTCCTTTAGAATGCTCTTCTGATGCTTTGTTTGAATTTTCCTCCCTAGGAAATCTCCTGACGATCACTGTAGAATTCTCATAAAAATTCGTTTGAAGCTCCACTCGATTCATTTTGAGATATACTAGGTATAAACAATGAAATTGCTTACAAGCTTGTAAACAACATTGCTGAAGTATGCAGAATCGCGCTTGAATTTACATGAAATATCGTGTAAATTAAATTTCCGCTAATTCAAACGACAACTGCGTGTGCGCTGTATATCACTGAAATTTACATTAATTTATCGAACAGTATATCCTCATAAATATACTCTCCTCAGACAGCTTTGGAATTCCCTAAAAATCTTTTGAAAATTCTGCATAGTGCCAGACATAATCTTGCAAAAAAAATTTCCAAGAGCCCGGAATTTAAATTTTTATCAAATCAGGAATTTTGAAAAAAAAATCAGGACATCTTGACCTTTTTCGTCTTAGCATTTTCAAGAGATCTTAAATTTTACTGAAAACATTTTTTTTTTCTTTATTTAGGAGATTTTTAGCCATAGGCTAGTTCATCTCCGTTTCTGAAATCAATAAAAAATCCATAGTTTCAGAATTTGAAAAATGAAAAGCCGCACAATTTTGAAAATTGTAGTAAGTCTTTTATAGACAACCTGTAGTCGTAAAAAAATGCACAGCTAAAATTGTAAAATACTGCAGATTTCGTTCAAATCGCATATAAGAATGAATTTCATCGCATGATGATCGTATACATATAATGAAAATTGTCGAGCTTTATACGATGCATCATGTTTGATTTGCAAATTGAATCGAATAAACTAGCATGGCTTGTCAAACTTAATTTGTTACCAATAAAATCGTGTATAATAAGACATTTAATCGTTAACCAAGTAATTTTGAATTTACACGTGTACTGCAACGGCTAGAAATACATACACAAAGTCCAAAAATCCGAACACTTTTAAATGTTGATTATCAATTACTAACATGCTCCGAACCTAAGTAACATCGCAGGCTTTATCGAGGTCTTATAGCATTCTACAAATCTAAATCATGGTCTACAGAACCCTCATAAAACCAAAATTGTTACTTGGGAAGAGCGCTTAATTTCCATCATGGTATACATGTATTTTGTTTTTCTTAGCCCGTTATCTTCCAATATATTCTAAATGCCAAATTTTCTTCAAATTAATCGCAGGTTCTAGCTAAAGATTGTTTAGAGCATTTAATAGTTGAATGTGCCTCTTTTCAAAATTGTCATTGTTGATAAGTTTTAGATACTTGTATAAATTAAAAAAATCTAACCCTCAGATTATCTTTGTAGTAGGAGATCTCTATAAAAAAAAAACCTCAGATCACTTTTATTGTAAAGATTAGGCTTTCTAAACCGACATTGAAATTCAATCGATTAAATTTCAAAATTGGGCTTTCTTCTATGAAAATAATTTGAGAAGTCGAAATAAATAAAATTAAAAAAAAAAAAAATTCCAAGATTAATGACCTTTTTTACTATAAATAACTTTTAAACCCTTTCACGCCCTGAAAAATTATTTTGTTAATGTAATAATCGAGAATGAAAGTTCATACGTGAGCGTTATGCTAATAAAATCTTCCAAAAGCAGTGGAACAGCATAAATTGACCAGCATAAGTGATAAACTAAGGACTGTATTGAAAATAAGTTGTGAACAAATTTTGGAAAAACCCATACAAAATTATTAACATGAAAAAAAGGTTTTTCATTTATTTATGTCATGTTCTTCTTTAGAAGTTAATTTCACAAAAACAAATTAAAAAAAATTCTTTCACGAACTTTTATGTTCTTGAATTAAGATTTTCTTATAAATTTTTGACAGTGTGACAAAACGGGTTTTTCTTACATTTTGAACAAATCGTACACTATTTTTTGAAGTTGTTTTATGATCTTAGTAGATTTACAATCCATGGAAAAGGCTGTGAACAAATCACAACAATTTTAAATTTTTTTGGCCTAATTTGACATCAACTCCGTAGGTAATTCTTGCTGAAAAATTCACTACATGAGAAATTTTGATTTTCGACCCAATTCAACTTGTTTGCAACCACAATCTATTGAATGCTGATTGCTGATGCTGAATGGCAATTGTAAAAAACATCTTTGAAATGATATTATGAGTTCTAAAACCTTGAAATAAACAAAAATATTCTGTAACAATGCTTTCAATAAACTCGAAAATGCACTGTCCGAAATCTCATAAAAGGAACTAAATCTAACATGAGCGCAGTCCCTTTAAGAATGTGTTTTGATTTGTTTTCTTTGATAAGTTTTAAGAAAGGACACGACACACATAATGAAACTACTTTTTTTTTATTAATATTATTTGTTTACAGATTTGGAGAGCTAATGTTGTTAAGAACATAATTTCGATACAGCGCTCATTCCAGAAGTGGCTAAAAATAATCTTAATAAAGAATTTAAAAATGGAAAAATTGACAATGCGTGAATCTTCCTACTTCATAAGATGAACCTTTATATTTGAGAAAACTTTTGGTCGATGTACATCAGTTCACGGCATTTAACATAACCCATAAAATAATAAATCTGGTTAAAAACTGAATAAGCCTGTTTATAACTGCATAGAATTGTATGTATGAATTGTATCTCATTCACGTATTTGACACTTCAGTCGAATCTGTTTGAACTACCGTTTGATTGAGGAATACAATCTAGTTGAAAAGTGAGGTAAGCATTCGCTTACACTAATCTTCAATCGTAGTTTGAGAATGATCACGATTTTGTAATTTTAATACTATGAAATAGCTGATATGATGGTTTGGGAGTAATTAGATGCGGAAGCTATACCGGATTGATACCGTGCGGGACCGAAATCCGTACAGCACCGAAATCCGTACACCCTGTTGAATTTGTTTATTTATAAGCATCATAACAATGTAAATGTTATACATGAATACATATTCATGTTCATTCATGCATTAGCTTAATGTTTACGTCAACAATTAAGCAGAATGTCATGCAATTAAAATAATAAAAATAAAAACCTTAACACGTGTCGGGCATTTCTGTCAATCGGTTGCGTTCTTAACGATTTTCTAAGGAAATCTCTCAGATTTACTTCAGTTTGTTAAGCGTATTTCAGTGATGTTTGCAAGTAGTTTCCTGAAGGTCGATCGAAAAGGTTAGTGTTTATCGTTTTATATCTCAATTCTAAGCAATGGATCGTTCATATGGTATTTATTTATCAAAATTAGTACTGTACGGATTTCGATCCATATATAACAGCTGATTCTAAATCCGTACACTTGTGCATCACTAATGACGATTCTACTTTATCCAATGTTTTTCAGCAGATCATGGAAACTAAATACACGCCGGAGGATTTGGAGAAGACTGTGGCAATGATGCGTGCGGAGAAATCATACCAAGAAGCATCCAGGGATTTTGCCGTTCAATTCACCACCATAAGAGATGCCGTATTCAATCGCTACTCTCTTATTTTATTCGTATTGTAAACGTTATATTATTAATATCTTTTAATGAAGAGCGTCCGAAAAGTAAAACAACGCAGCTCCCCTACAGGATATCACCAACACGCATATACAAATTAGGGACCATGCATAAATGACGTAGCATTTGAGGGGGGAGGTGAAGGTTTCAGAATTTGTGACCGGCCATGTATTGGATATAGCCAAATACGCTACGAGGGGAGGGGAGGAGTATAAAATTGATCAAAAATATGCTACGTCATTTTTGGATGCTCCCTTACAGAGAGCATTCCCAGCAGTAGCTACCAGCGAGGAATGACTGGAAATACACATGAAAGTAGTACGGGCGAAAATTGATAAAGAGAACGCAAAGAAACAAAGGATTGAGGAACGACAAAAGAAAAAGGTTGAGCGAGAGAGGAAGAGGAGGAAGAAAAGGAAGAAGAGCAAAGAAAGTTCCCTAATAAACAAATACCATGAACGAACTTTATCCCGGATGGGTAAACTTTCCCACAAATGGTTTGGATGATACCCCGAACACGTCGTTAAGGGGAAGCAGACCGATCCGAAAAAAAAAATTACGTTTTGATTTTTCTAAAAGTATTGAAAAAAAGTATCAAAAATCTAAAAAAATCACATTTTTTCTAATTTTTTAAAGAAAATTCACGTGCAAAAACATGTTTTATAAGTCATTATGGCATAAAGTTGGACTCAAAAAATCACAAAACATCAACTTTTCGGTTTTTCTGAGAGTCCAATTTTTTTTCATGATGGGATAGACAAAAATTTTTTGCATGTAATTTTTGACAAAAATCTAAGGAAGAAACTGATTTTCTTGGATTTTTGATAATTTTTCCCAATGTTTTTAGAAAAATAAAAACGTACCGAAAATATTTTTTTATTTTTGGGCCGGTGAGCTTCCCCTTAAGCTCTCTATTATGGTTATTTTTATTAGGGTTGGAAGCAAGAAAGCATTATAACTTGAAAAGGCAATGGTAACAATGGAGAAGAAGCAGAAGAAAGCTGTGGAAAAGAAGCAATGAAAGATCTGTATTTTTATGATTATTACTCTCTTGACGTATTAAATTAAATTAAGTTATAGTCGTTATTTTACCAATTTTAATTTTCAAGCACAAAACGAAAAACTAATCCTTGATGTCAGTTCATTGTCTTTTTTTGTTGGTTTCTAAGATGGTTGTATTTTTCTTTTACTTATCCGCCATTATAGGGCTTCCATCTTAGGAACCGGTTAATTTATCGCTTGATGCCAGTGGGTTGGTGGAGTTCCAAAGTATGGCGCATCTTGCACGTTATCACATGTCAAATTTCAAAAACCTCGAAGTTGTGATCGGAGGAAAACTCCAGTAAGAATATTTAACCCAAAGTACTGGTATAGAATAAAATTTGGAAGAAATTGATCCTTAAACATGATATTAGTTAGCATAAAAATCTAGAACAGTTACCTTCTTAAATAAAAAGAATTCAGTTACCTCTCCTTTGAATCGATTGGAGCATCAATTAATCTAACGCTGATATCATTAGTTAAAAAAGTAAAAGTAAAAAAAATGAACTTGAACCTTTGACGAATGATTCTTATGTAAAATCGTGCACTGAATTCAACAATGTAGTCGAAAAAAATGTCAGTAGGATAGTTTTTGGGATACAGCTAAAAATGAAAATTCACTTTAAACAAGTTTGATTACTGTAATACAAATATCTCCGGTTGTAATGAGATTATATCAATTATTTTAACGCTAAATTATAGGTAAGAAATTTTTTCGTTGGATCAATTGAACATCAATTGTCAGTGAGATTGATGGTATTGTTGTTAGTTAATAGTTTTTTAAGTTTTCCTAAGAAAAATTGAATTTCTGCTAAGTTTTTAAGCAATGTAAATTAAAATGTTTATGGTGGTTCTACCATTACTGTCACGGAAAAATAGTGTTTTAACGATCGAAATAAAATTGTATCACCTTTAATTTGGCGTTAAAATAATTAATATCACTTCATTGCAGCCAGAGATATTTGTGTTTTCGTTTTTTTTTAACGTGAGATTTCATTTTTTAGCTAGGGGAAGGAGGGGCATAGTGAGCATCCCGTACTTTGGCTCTGGATCTCCAACTGCATGAAACAAATCAACTGGTAGTAGGATCAATATCATTAAGATATTGATCCTACAGCCAACAAATTTGTTCTGAACGGCCGGAAGTCCAAGCTGGAGCACGCGCGATGCTCACTATGCCCCACCTGTTCACTATGCCTCTCTTACCCCTATATCTCCAAAACTATCCTACCGAGATTTTTTTGGACTACATTTTTGGATTCAGCGCACGATTTTACATGGGAAATGACCAGCAGCGTACAAAGTTCAAATATGCTGTAAACTAGTGTATTTAAACGAATATAGCTGTTTTGGACTCTTAGCCAAGCAACTACAAAAAAAATCTTAATTCAAGATAGCAACACGTTTTTTTTTCATTGATTTGGATCGATTTACATTCATGTACGGATTTTGATTCATGACTGTACGGATTTTGATTCATCCTCAACACAGTGTACGGATTTCGATTCAAAACTGTACGGATTTTGATTCAATCGTAAAACGCTGTACGGATTTTGATTCAAGATATGTGCAATTTAAATCCTTTTTTCTAATAATTAAAGGTAATTTTAAGACCTGGTGTTTGCAAATATTGGAAAAATAAAGATAAATGTAAAGGAAAAAGATGTGATACAGAGCATAATGTGATAGCATTATTTAGTATTGACCGTTAATGATTCTCTCGTGCTTAGGTGTACGGATTTCGGTCCCGCACGGTATTTTGCAATCAAAACCATTGCTCATTCGTTAAATTACACGAATAATGTTTTTTTTATGAAAATCAATAAGTTCATAATATAACTAAATATAAAAGTATTTGAAAACCAACACTGTTCTTGGGATTTCATTTTCTGTGAATTTCTTAGAAAATATTCAACTGCAGTTCCAATTGACTAAGCTTGTAGAACAGAACTACCGAAGAACAAATCAAAACAAAACCTACTAGACAAAAATGCCATCAAACAAAAAAACTAACCCAAATTACTTGATTAAGTTATGACCTGTGATAGAGCTCATAAAAAAAAAGCGCGCACCTGCCTCATAATTCATTAGTAATGAATCTAAAACTGCTCTTATCGGATTCCTCGCGTAGTTCGGTTTCACACGAACGGCCGACCAACCGCGGAGCCAAAAATATGCACGGTAAAACGAATTTACGGTCGCGAGCCAGGCAATCGTAACAGTGTAAATTCATACCCGCCGTGAGAAATAGCCTCACCAAATTCCATTGAACTTAACGCATTCCCCAATCGCAGGAAAGTTGAAAATAGTACAAATAATACAATCTAATATGACGGTGCGAGGATGTAGAGGGAAACGGCACTGGAAAGAAAGTGGAATTAATTATTCCTGTAATTTGCATTCCGCTTTTCCTTGATTCATTTCCACCTCATTTACATTAACGGTCATAGTTTACTCGAGCGCGATTTTTTTTCTTCTTTCTCCTGCACTGTCGCTGATTTCCTTTAAATTTTCGACTTTTCAGCATAATATTCCCTCCCTTTCCTAGGTGGACCCGTTTCGCACTTTCGTTCTCCTAAAGATGCTTAAAATACGGTAGTGAAAATGAGTGTCTGCACTACTGGTTTTCCGCATGGTCGCTTGACTTGTCCCACTCAGTCAGTCTCTGAACACTTTTTTGGCGTAAAAAACGATTATTGATTTCTCTCGTGATAGTTTTCCCTGCTGCTGCTGCAGTAAACGACGATAAAAAGTCTAGATTCGGTCATTTATGTTTTCTTCGTCTATGGTGTCCCTGCCAGGGGTTCAGAGTTGTTGCTTTATTTTATTTATATCGCCTATAGTTAGTTGGTGGTTTGGACGCGGACGCGAGATGGAAAATCTAGAACACATTTTCTTCTATACTGTGGATCTTCGGGTGCTGTTCTCGATTGTATGCATTTTTTCCTTATTATTTGTCGCAATGTGGATTTCTTTTTCCTGACGAAACATCTCGGGAGGTGATGGTGGGCGCCCTCAGCGTCCCAACGGAGAAGCATTATAGGAAAGCGGAGGGGCACACTAACTTTTACGATCGTTGATGATGGATTGAATTGAACGTGGCTATCAACATCAATCCGGCAATGATGGATGACCACAGAGCGTCGTTAGAATTGCCACTGCCGTAGTAATAATTTCCTAGACGAATGCAATTTGTGGAAGAAAAAAAAAAGAACGAGAGAAAGAGAAGGAACATGGAGTTGAATTTATCTTCACTCTCGGTAGGTTGTCCATGTTGGGAGGGGTTTTGGCTACATCCAC